ATGCATCCTTTGCACTAATATTTTCGTTTGACGATTGGATAATCCAAAACTGAATATCTAAAATCGCTAAGAGCTATATCACAATACGCGATAATAAAAATGATGGAGCTATTCTTAATTCTCACTTGTCTCGAGTACCTGTAATTCCTTTCGAATACGAATCTCTGATCTATCATTATCATAATCGAGTATCATTCGGCTGTTCAGATTGTTACAGTCTGTTCCAGACTGTTTTCTATCGTAGCGAAAAAATATGGAAAAATATCTTACTAAACTTGACTTGGGGTGAATATTATCGCCTCATTTATATCGCCAAGCTTTGTATACAAAGCAGCATGACTATCGAAGCCGCAAGATTTTCAATCCATACCCAAAACATACTGTCATCGATCAAATGTAAAAACTAGTTTAATAACTAGTTTAATAACGTAATAAATTAACGTAATAAACTCAAAGTGAGTACTTGTCAAGGTACTTGTTGTCGTCGTTAACAGTACGTTTTGTACATAAACTTATACACGTTTAGAATTGTATTATTATGCTACGCTTATATGTACAATTCATTCCGGATTTTAGAGATAATCTGCATATCTGCAGTCATAATTGGCATCTTATAACTTTCTATAGACTTTTATCTTTCGGCTGTACGTTCGCGAGAATTTAATGGACCGAACGATCGTATTTTGACGAGAAAGAGAGAGAGAGAAAGAGAGAGAAAGAGAGACAAGTGCTTATCGTAACCGGTTATCTTACGCATAATGAACGCAACTCTGTTTTGTTCACTTCATTTATCTAGATTGTTTGATATTTTGCTGTGGTAGCGCAATATTCTAATATATTTATTAGATGCTCCGAGAGACTTTAACATGATAGTAGTCGCATGTAAAGGCAAGCAAAAAATAGTCAATGCGACTTGGAATAAATTTATGTACGAGTATCTAAGTTAAACTACACAATGTCCTAAAAAAGTAACTATATATTGCTTTCTTAGCGAATGATGTTTCATAGTTTTACCAAATCTTAAATGTTAGAAATATTTCATAGAATATGTTCGAAAACGCGTCTTTCTTCAAACAAGAATCTAAGATATCGTGTAAGATATCGTGTGTACAAAATATGATATTAGGCTTTGTAGGTTTCAAGGAGTAAACAAGAAAGTTTTAAGTTCTGAATTGAGTTCTAAAAGTTTCAACCGTTTATATCACTAAGCATGTATAAATATTTTTCTAATGTAATAACTTGAGATAGAGAGATACTCATGAAAAATGTTTTTGCACCAATCTAACAATTACCTAAAAATTTGTCCTATATCACACGATACAAAAATCTATAAATTACGATAGACAGATACGGTACATAAGATAGAAACGTAATATGATAACGTAATATGATAACGTGCAGTAGCTTAACAGAAAGATGTACCTTAATTACATTATCGTTTTATAACGATTTTGAACACTTTCTATTGTTGAATTTTTGCCACTTTATTGTGCCAATTCTTCCGCGATAAGGCTATTGTTGTTGTTGTAGTTGTTGCAATAGTGGACATACTTCGACCAAGGGAGTTCCCAGAATCTCTTGACATACTTGGTTCATATCCGGTTCCATCATGAGTGAAGAAATTTGATCCTCCGTTAGCATCTCCACGCTAATTTCGAATTTGTTAAGAAAACGAACAAATTAAGATGTTGTAAATTAATGAGAATATATTAACAAAACTTACCTAGCTAAACTTTCACTGTCTGACGTCTCCTCGTCGGCATTGAGATAGCTCATTGTTTTTTCTAACGGACTTGGAACTTTCTTTCCCTTAGCTTCCGACTTCTCAGACTTTTCAGACTTGTCCTTGTCTCTCTCCTTGTCTGTCTTTGGTTCGCTAGAACGTCGTTCCGTTAAACTAGATATGTTTAGCATCATCATACCATGATTGAGTAATTCCTTAACGCGCTCCCCAGTACCGCCACTCCACAACATGTCGAGAGATTGTCTTCTACTTGAATTTGCTGAAATGACAATATATTCGCATATAAATATAATTTTGAAGGATACAAAATTTCTCAAAGATGCATTCAACTACTTACTGGAATTAGCACCACTAGTTTCACCACCGGCTGAACTTCTAATTATCCAATTAGCTAAGCTACTGTCGAGCTTGCCTCTATTTTTCACTGATGGACTTCTCGTAACTTCGGCTTTCTTTTCTTCGCTTAAAGTAACTTCATTTACTTTCGACATTGTGGGTAAAGACTTTTGCGTTACTAATCTCTTTCGATTTGTCTGTTCCTTTTGTAATTCGGCGGTGACGTTAATTGATTGAGCGAGTTCCGGACTTAGATCCATCGGTAGTGGTTTGTAAGGGATTTGATCTTCCTCATCGGAATACACGTCATTATTATAATAAATCTCATCTGGCGAATTGTTCAGGCTAATTTCTGTCCATTCCTCTCCATTTTGCGAATGAGCAGAGTTATTTTTGCGCTCGTTTATGGGCGTTTGAATCTTCACTCTCTTCTCAACCGGAGATATAATACCCGACAGATCAGCCAGACCCGGTGCGGAAGAACTTGTGTGATTTAAAGGTACGATATGTTTCGAGTCGGTTGCGGCGATGCTCCGTGGACGGTCACGTTTGATGTATTTACGTGGCTCAGTGGATGAAAGGTTCAGATTATTTAGGCCCAAATATTCCGATGATGTATCTCTATCGATCTGAAAAAAGAGCAGAGTTTATCGATTAATAAAACAGAAAAGTACGATTTGCTGAGAGATATATTTACTCTTGTAGGCATGGGACATGGCACGTTCGGACTCATCTTGTCGGGAAGGCGTAAATATTCGTCGCTAGTATAATCCGTGCTGTCCGGGGATCCAGTTACGCTGGAATCTGTCGGAGTCGCCGTATTGATTTGCGTGGAGCGATCGGGCGCGTCTCGTGCACTCTTATCATATTCGTCCGTACCGTCGTATCTCCTCGTCTATTAGCAAAAATGTGATTAAAATTTTGTGTATTGTTCGAATCGTGTTATTCACACAAATATATTTATTCATACCTTGTGAATCTCGTCGCTGATCTTTTCTAAATTCCGTAACGCTTCCGCATATGAAGCTTTTGCTTCGCCAACTGACCTCTCCAACGCACTGACCTTCATCTTTTGTTCCTCGAGCATTTGATTAAAATGTGCTTTCATCTCATAGTAAGGCCTGCCCCGATCACGTAATATTTTATTACGATACGTAGAAAAATTGTTTTCATCAGCATTCCAATATTTTATTTATGCATAACTTCATCATATATTATATGACAATTTAATTGGAAGAAGCAGCTTGATGAATTTTGTGTACAATGTATCGATTGTGGAAAGCTCAATCAAAGAAAACTAGCAGATTGTACATTCAAAATATTTTTAAAAATACATAATTCATGCACAATCAGGGTGTTAATTAAAATAAAAATAAACAAAGAGAGCTAATTCGATAACACACACAAAATAAATACTATATAAAAAAAATAAAAAAGAATATCTATCCTACTTACAACATGAGCAAGTTGTGCCTGTAGGCGATACTGTTTATCAGAAGCAAGCTGCGGCGTGCACCCATACTGCCAACATGAATATATAACCAAAACACATAAATACCATAAGAGGTCTATAAAAAACAACGTAAACAAAATAATCATTCGAAAGTAATTCGATGATTATTTGAGTATAGAGATAAAATGTGATAGAAATGGGAAGAAATAATAAGAGGTTTCATATGTAAACAGTTATAGTATTTCCGATACATTAACTTGGTTGTATACAAGGTTTTAGCATTTTAAAGTGGTTTATATAAAAAATAACTATATGCAATAACTTCATGCTTTATAACAAAACCATCAGGAAAATAAATATATACTCGAGCTCCATTTATGGAAGAGTGGCTCCTTTACATACCTAGATTTAGCAATAGTACGCTTCAATTCACGCTGCAATCTTTGAACTTCGTGTTCGGCTTTGTGATACAATGCAGTCGTATGTCTATGTTCTGCTTCAGAGAGAGCTCTCTCATGTTCTGATTCATTAACTCGCGACGTAGCATGATTCAACATTTCCTATAATACATCTCATTATTATATGCGTAGTACTTATGCATAATTTTTATTGAAACTGTATTACTAAATTTTACCTGCCAAGCGTGATCGAAACATCTCCCTTCAGTTCGTAAGCCTTCCTCTGCTAAGTAAACCATTTCTTTAGCTGCTGCATGTTGACTGTTGGCTCTCTCAAATCTAATCGCAGCCTTTTGTGTTTCTTGTAGTGCCTAAAAAAATAATGCTTAAAATTATTTCTAAATCTATAACTATACGAAATATAACTGTCATTTAAATATTACAAAAAAATTCTTACCTCCTTCGCCTTAAACCTAGCATCGTAGTATGGTCTAGATTTTTCAATGCAAGTACCAAGTTTCTTAGCCAAAGCATCAATCTTGATTGTTGATTCGCACAATAATTCTCTAAAAGTTGCTCTTGCTTCCTACAAATGATGATAAAATATAATCTTCCTATGAGATAAAAAGATTAGAATATATATATATATATATATATATATAATAAATATGTCTTATATATTGTTT